AATCCAAGAAATAACAATCAAACAGGCGAGGGAAACAATTCAAACAGTTTAAGACTTGAAAACTGAAATAGAGACAATAAAGAAAACAGACTGAGGGAATGCTGAAAATAGAAAAGATGGGTAAATGATCAGGAACTACAGATGCAAGCATAACCAACAGAATACAAGAGATAGAAGAATCTCCAGTGTTGAAGATACACTAGGAGAAATATATTCATTGATCAAAGAAAATCTTAAGTCCAACAAATCCTTAACACAAAATATCCAGGAAATATGGGACACCATGAAAAAGCCAAACCTAAGAATAATAGGTATAGAAGAAGGTGAAGAAACCCAGCTCTATGGTGCAGAAAACATATTCAACAAAATCATAGAAGAAAACTTTCCCAACCTAAAGAAGGACTTGCCAATCAAAGCTTACAGAACACCCTCAAAACAAACACCAACATGGGTGGTGAGTGGAAGGTAAATGCTCTAACCACTGAGCCACTTGCCGCCGCCCCTTCACTATTTTATAAGCCCCAGATGCTTGCTTTCTGAGTATCTTTGTCTATAATTCCAGCACTTGGGAAAGATTACAGCAAGTTCAAAACCAGCCTAAGCTACCACTGAATTTCAGGCTAACCAAAGCTACAAAGGGAGACAAAAAACCCACAAACAAACAAAGACAAAAAGAAGCCTAAATCACAGGTGTCCGTGAACCATTGCACCAGGTATATACTTATCTTTAGATTGAGTGTGGCTAGGCACAGGTGTTTCTGAAGCCCCAGCTGGCCATTCTGTCACTTGCATCCAAACTCATCCAAATGGAGGTAAACTTTGGCAGTCCCTAAAACAACATAGGTCTTATTTTTGCCCATTTCTGTTTGGATGGTCACTGTTCTGCTTTTTTCAGATTCCCTTACATCCACATGCAGAGGAATCGTTTGAGTGTGCAGGGTGTGCATAGTGCCCTGATGGGGAAGTCCTGTGTATATGTCAATAAAGCACTGTTGGCCAATAGGGAAGCAAGATAGGTGGTACTAGGAGTCGAGGAGGACTCTGGGTAGGAGAAACACAGGGAGTCACGATGTAGCCCGCCAGAGAAGTAAGATGTCCAGAACTTTTCTCCAGTAAGAGAAATACTTAGATTAACAATTATGGGATAAATACTTACATCTGAGCTAGCCAGTAAGAAACAAGCAAGGCCAACAGCTTCATAATTAATACAGCATCTTGTGTGTTATTTGAGGACTACAACGTGGCAGAGCCCAGGCGACTTGTGGGAAAAACCAAAGCAGCTGACAAGGAAAAGGCTTCTCTCTACAGTGCCTCTAAGGGTGCCCTCGCCACAGTGAGAACCGGAGTGTCCCTTGGATCTGTTAGTGCGATTCAGTTCACTTGGCTTGGCTAAATGCTGACGGCTACTCTTTATCTGCGTGATGGGGGGGGGGGGGCAAGTATCATGTATCCAAGGAAGGCTTCAACCTCATGAACCCAGGATGACCTAGAACTTCTGATCGCCCCACTTCTATCTTTCAAGGGTTACTCCTGCATCTAAAATTAATGAGAGTCTCTTTTCCCCTCATTATTATTTTGTTGTTATTTGTTCATCTGGTTTCGCTTTTTTATTGCTTATAAGACCCATTTTTGTGTTTTTTGCTTTTCTGCAAAGGTTTTTTTTTTCTAGTATCTTTATTAAAGTATATCACAGCATCGATATGTTTAAAGTATGTAAACCAGTGGTATTCTATCCATACCATTTTCTCCTTCCCTCCTTCCTTCCTTCCTCCTCCTCTCGGTGTTTTCGAGACAATGTCTCACTTCATAGTTCAAGCTGGCTTGGCCTCTCAAACACTGGACTATAATCACGAGCCACCACGCCCAGCTCCATTCATGGTTTCTTTGGTAACACTTCTTGGTCTCATTTTTTAATAGATACAATCCATCTTCTTCTACATCGGGGTTAAATACCCCAGGCCAGGAGACAGGAAACTGCAGGGGTCAGACCGGCCTGTCCAACCAGCTGATTTCGCCAAGTTTTATTAAAACACAGCCCTGGTGACTTGTCTATTTTCATCCATGGCCCTTTCTGCACAGCAGTACACAGCTGAGTTTAATGAGAGACCACAGTTCCACAAGGCAAGCTACTGCTATCTGGCCTGGTACAGAAGAGTTTCCAGCCACACCCACGGGCTAACGTTACAGTATTGATGTACTGAAGTGCTTTATCCCAGTTGGCAGCATTTGGTGGTGCGTGGAAGAAACCTGTATTATTGCTCTCCTGTCCCTCTGTCCCCTCTGGCTTTGTCATTATGTGGGGTGGACGACACGGAGGCAAAGGAGAGACACATGAGGCCCCGTCTGTCTTCACAGTCATGTCACAGCATAAAGAGCAGAGACTGCAGTCAGCAGGGTGCGTGTCTCTCCATACCACCCCTGCAGAGCGGTGCTGGCTTTGGGAGACAATTCACAAAAACACCTCCTTTATGGAAAAGTCTAGAATTAAGACAGACAAGCAAAACTAAACTCGGGAATCAGATTCCTCAACCGCCAGGTTTCTCCTTCTAACTGGACCATTGATAAGAATTCAGACACTTGTTACAATGTAAGGAGGTTGTTTTTCAGAAGCCGGCAGAAGTGTCTGCTCTGTTTAAACTTATGGTCTGTAAGCACCAGCCAGGGAGGGACTGAGTTGACAGCCATTCCTGTAGTAAAATGATGAATCATAGGGATAGTTAAGGAAGCAAGAGATACCATATTCTTGCTTAATTAGAACAATTAAGCAATAGGACATCTGGGTCCTTTTGTTAATCACCACCAAGTGCAACTCACACAACAGAATTTAGTCTTTTATTTAATTATATTAATTTATTCCAACAGCTTCAACTAATCACAGTGACAATAACAGAGTTCATTTCAGAGTACAGATCTTTAGAAATGTTTGCTGCCCTTTACAAGGCTGTCACTTGAAAACTTTAAGCTCCGCCCCTGTATCAACATGCAGGGGTGTTTAATATAGACAGGTCTGGGGTAAGAAGATGGTGGCTAAAATCTCTTCCTTCTACAGGAGATGGGTCTACACAGTGCTATTCAATAACACTGTTTGGTGACAGTAGGAATTTTTTTTTAGGTTAGAAACAAGCTTGTTTCACACGTCAATCCCAGCTCCCTCTCCCTCCCCTCCTCCCCTGCCCTCCTCACCAGGTCCCCCAGTCCCCCACCCAATCTCCATTCCGATCCCCAGGGAGGGTGAGACCCTCCATGGTGGATCTCCAGAGTCTGTCATTTCATCCAGGGTAGGGCCTAGGCCCTCCCCCAAGAGTCCTTGCTGAGAGAGCCTCCCATATTGTGGCATGGGCACTCAAAATCCATTTGCATGCCTGGGATAAATACTACCCAAGGCCTAGATTACCTAGGCCTCCTCACTGACACCCACAGTCAGGGGTTCTGGGTCAGTCCCATGCTTTCTACACAGCCATCAATCTGGGGTCCAAGGGCTCCCCCTTGTTCAGGTTGACTGTTTCTGTGGGTTAAACCAGCCCAGTCTTAACTCCTTTGCCCATCAGTTCTCTCTTTCTGACACTGGATTCCAGGAGTTCAGTGTTTGTCTGTGGGTGTCTGTCTCTGCTTTCATCAGTCACTGGATGAAGGTTCTGTTTCCCAGACTCTCTGGCAGTGGGAATGTAGGCTGGCACTCCCCTTATTCATGTCTAAAAATCCATAAATGAGTGAGTACATACCATTTTTTTCCCGTAACTGGGTTACCTCACTCAGGATGGTTTTGCCTAGTGTCATCCATTTGCCTGCAAATTTCAAAATTCATTTTTTTCTACTATATAGTACTCCATTGTGTAAATGTATCACATTTTTTCTATCCACTCTTCAGTTGAGGGGAATCTAGGTTGCTTCCAGGTTCTGGCTATTACAAATAATGCTGCTATGAACGTAGTGGAACAGACATCCTTGTATGAATGTGCATCCTTTGGGCATATGCCTAAGAGTGGAATTGCTGAGCCTTGTGGTAGACTGATTCCCATTTTCCTGAGGAATATCCATACTGATTTCCAAAGTGGCTGTACAAGTCGGCACTCCCACCAGCAGTGGAGGAGTGTTCCCCTTTCTCCACATCCTCTCCAGCATAAACTGTCATTAGTGTTTTTGATTTTAGCCATTCTGACAAGAGTGAGATGGTATCTCAGAGTTGTTTTGATTTGCGTTTCCCTGATGGCTAGGGATGTTGAGCACTTTCTCAAGTGTCTCTCAGCCATTTTAGACTCCTCTATTGAGAATTCTCTATTTAGTTCTGTACCCCACTTTTTTGATTGGATTCTTTGGTGTTTTGGACACTTGCTTCTTGAGTTCTTTGTAAATTTTGGAGGTCAGCCCTCTGTCCAATGTGGGATTAGTGAATATATTTTCCCATTCTGTGGGATGCCCTTTTGTTTTGATGAATGTGTGCTTTGCCTTACAGAAGCTTCTCAGTTTCAGGAGATCCTATTTATTAATTGTCGATCTTAGTGTCTGTGCTACTGGAGATATGTTCAGGAAGCTGTCTCCTGTACCAATTTGCTCAAGGGTGCCACCCACTTTCTCTTCTAACATGTTCAGTGTGGCTGGATTTATGTTGAGGTCTTTGATCCATTTGGACTTAAGTTTTGTGCATGGTGATAGACATGGATCTATCCACATTCTTCTACATGCCAGCATCCAGTTATGACAGCACCATTTGTTGAAGATGCTTTCTTTTGTTCATTGTATAATTTTAGCTTCTTTGTCAAAGATCAGATGCTCATACATGTATGGGTTAATGTCGGGGTGTTCAATTTGATTCCATTGGTCTACCTGTCTATTTTTGTGCCAATACCAAGCTATTTTCAGGACTACAGCTCTGTAATACAGCTTGAAGTCAGGGATAGTGATGCCTCCAAATGTTGCCTTGTTGAGCAGGGTTGTTTTGGCTATCCTGGGTCTTTTGTTTTTCCACATAAAGTTGATTATTTTTCTTTCAAGGTCTGTGAAGAATTGTGCTGGGATTTTAATGGGAATTGTGTTAAATCTGTATATTGCTTTTGGTAAGATTGCACAGTCAGTGCTCAGCACAAATCTTAAAAGAAATCACTCTAACTTTCACGACTGGCCACGCACACCATCAGAGCAAGGGCTACGTGAGGTCAGAGAACTTATCTACTGCACTTGATGTCTCCTGGGGTTGCTGTCAGACAACGCCTCCGCCTCTTCCCGCAGTCAGGGCTAAAGCCAAAGCTAAGCGCTCAGTGGGGAAAGAAAAGACGCAGCTCCACTTCGCGATGCTCATTTCCGGAGATGAAGACAATGACTCCATTGCTTCTTCCCAAAGAGCAGCCAGCAGTCGTGGGGCGATTTCTTCCCTCCTACAACAGAAGCCCGGGCGCAGGGGACTGGCCCGGGGCACACGGGGCAGTAGTGTGGTGCTCATTGTCCGCCTTACTCTCTGCCACTGTGACTCAGCGTTCATCCACAAGGTGGACCTGGTCAAATCGCCACAGCTGTCTGGTCTTCCCATCACATTGACTCAAGCGCAGATCCGTACTGTCTGCATGGACCCCAGCTTCCATGCATTTCCCAGAAACAATGTGGACGATCATTCCATCCTGAAAAGAGAAGGAAGGGGCCGGTTCCTGACAAAGTCAGCAAAGGAGGACATGTTTAAGATTTTAAGATTTGTGCTGAGCACTGACTGAAATACTAGCAGAGATGGGATGACCTAGCCTGGAAGGAATTGTAGAACTTTTAGTTAATAGAAGATATAATCTCAATAACCCTAAAATTTAGATGTCATTCACGCCTAATGGATCATAAACCCAATTATTTGTATTGCTGTTATGTGCTTATGCCATCTCTTAGGAAGTTCCGGCCGTGGTAACTGGTTATGGTGTGTTCAATCTTTGTGTTGTATTGTCAGAGTCAATGTTATCGCTGCCTTCATGAATTTCTACTTTCAAAAGGGTTTCATTAGTGCTACCCTGGGCTAATCCTGCAATTTGAAACTGTGGCCACTAGGTTGCAGTCTAGAGCAAGACTGAGGCTATCCTGAAGGTCTAATTAGACCAGCCAAGTGAAAGGTATGACTGGACTCCACTGGATTCAATATTGACTGTAGCATTCCCCTTTCAGGAAAAATCTGATTTCTTTACCAAATTAAATAATTTTAGCCATAAGGTTATAAATTACTGGTCATTATTGTGATATTCAAAATTGCAGGCTGTTTTAAATAAACTAGTTGTCTTTAGTATACTGCAGAATATTTCCATCACTGCCAAAAGGCACTGCTACCCATTAGCCGTCATTTGCCCTTCTTCCTTCCTTCCAGCCACTGAAAATCACTCGTCTCCGTTCTAAACATTTCATGTAAATAGAATTGCGCCTGTACACCACTTGCATGCAGTGCCAACAGCGGCCAGAAGAGGGCATCAGATCCTCTTGAACCGGAGTTCCCCCGCATGGGTGCTAGGAATCAAACCTAGGTTCTCTGGAAGAGCGGCCACTGGTATTAACCACCAAGTTATCTCTGCAGCCCCAGTAGCTACATATTTGTATCTCAATATCTACTTCTTTTTAAATTTTGCATACCACTGAGTGGTTGTTTGTGTAACATGCTCCACCATCCTACCTGTGGTCCAAGCTAATGACCCGTCGTGGCTAATGACACCTCCTGTGGCTGGGTGGATTTTACTTTCACCAGAGACCCCAGTGCCAAGCCATTAAGCTCAACGACAGCAGAGGCCCTGTCCTGGAAGGGCCCAGGCTGCCGAGCTAACAAGGTCAACTAGCTGCCTGGAGGTCCCTGCGATCAGTCGGCATTTCCAGGATGGGGGAGTTACCTCCTGGAAGTCCCAGTGCTGTTGGTGGACAGCAGGGCCTTCCTCCCTGCAGTTCTGCAGAATCACCTGCTCGCCCCTGACATCGAAGCACAGCCGCTGCCGGCTGCCAAAGAGGATCTCCTTCCTGCCGGTGTGCTCCAGGTTCTGGGGCAAAGGAGACGGCAGTTAGCGCTGGCAGCCCGAGAGACACCCTCTCCAGAGCCGCGAGGGGAGCACACAGCCGAGCCGTGCTCTGCGGATTCTACAGGGGCAGCAACAAGGCTCTTGCTAGGTTCTGGTGTGCCAGCACCTTGGCTTCCCCATGCTCCTGTTTCTACAACCTGGCCTGTTCGTGCGGTATCCATTCTATTTCCTGTATGCAGACGAGGCTGTTTTAAAAGGCTGCAGGTTCTGGGTGAGCACTGCTGGGGAAGATCTGTCTGAGGCCCGGGCTGATTTCCTTCTAGAGACATCTTCCCCGCCCCTGACTAATTCCCCTGATGTTGGTGGTGGCTGCAGACCATCGTCTCCTCCTTCTTGGTTCCCAGTGCCTCCGGCATGGCTCCCATTATCTCCATCGCGGTTCCCATTTGCCCCAGGGTTTTAGAGCTGGACTGTGTGGACTTAGCCCAGGGATTTTAACTGTGAGTCACTTTGTTTACCAACTGGACAGCGTGTTTTGGCAAAACAGTCTTCTGCTTATTCCCGGCAGATGCAGCCCAAGCTGATTTTTATGTTCACCGTGTGACTCCGAGACGGGACAGGCATCACGGGTATGCAGCCTGTGCAGTAACGCGAGCCCTGAGTTCAGAAAGTCTTGGCGCTCTTGGTTTAATCTCGTCACTCTGTGTGTCGCTGCCACTGTCTCGAAATTCTTACTATAACTGTCGAATTCGAGGCATCAAATCTCCCGCTTGCACTAGGCCCTGCTAGCTTGCAAATTAAATATTTAAATTCCCAAACTGCACAGTTAGTACACATTTGAACCCCGCACATCTCAGAAACCTATGGGCAATCCTCAAGAGGGAGTAAACTTTTTCTTACTCCATCCCACCCGTCGTGGCAGACAGATGACTTCCTTGCCTCCTTGTGGTCACGGGGGAGACATTTTCAGTGCAGCTGTGCAAGGGCGGGCTACCCTGTGACGTCAAAGCTGGATAATATGAAGTCTCATTCCCAGCCTCATCTCTCACAAGCTGAAGCTGGGTCCCCCTCCCTTCTCCCTGCCTGCAGCCACACTCCTGAGCTCCTGAGGTTGGCGGCCACCGATCTCTGTCACCTCTCAAGGGAGCCCAACTCAGGGAAATGGCTCTATTTTCGGTTGCCATTTGGGTTTTAGCTCCTGGGTGTTTATTTTTTCTTTATTTCTTGTAAACTTAATGACTTGCACACGGAGAGGGGCATTTCACATTCTTTTAATTAGGTACATATCTAGTTTTTCCCCCCAGGGGTCAACTTACCGTCTTTCCAATATTGTAGGCTCCAGAAGACCTCACTAATAAAAAAAGTATATGCACAGAACAAATATTCCCTTTGTTTAAAGGGAGCCTATAGCACATGAAAAAACTGTGACTAAGATGATTAAAAAAAACCTGCCAAGGTTGCACACCTAGCCAGTGGGAATTTGATTCAAACCCGGCTCTAGATGGCAGCGAAGCTTAGACAGCTGTCACCCTAACAAGTGACATCTTTGCTTGACTCTCCCTGTGTTCATCTCTTGTGTCCAGAGTTAACGGTTCAAATGTGACTTGCGCCCCATGGGCCCCTGCTTCATCTGTCCCAGCTGGCAGCCCTGCTTTGAGGCCTGTGGGGCCTTAGGGGAGGCAGGGCCTGACTGGAGGAGACTCTCAGGGCTATACGCACCTGGCCTGCTGTCTCTGCTCCTCAGTCTTCACCATGTGAGCAAGTTACCAACTGTCTCATACTTCAGCCACCATAGACCAAGCCACTCCCACTGCCCTGCCCTTCCCGTGGTAAACTGAAACCCTCCTGAGACTGTGAACTTAAAAATCCACCACCAGCAGCAGCAGCAGCAACAGAAAGAAACATTTCCGACCACGTCTCTGTCAGGGATGCTAACATTCACTAATATACCCACTATGAATGCCCACTGGTGTTTCAGGAGTGAATGGTAAAGTACAGAGAGACCAAGTGAATGCTGAGCCAACTCCTTCCTCTTGTACCCTCCAGGCCTGAGCCTGTGCCCAGCACTCTAGGCTTGCACTGCAAGGCCGGGACCAGCTTACCATAGAGATGGCCGAGGCTTGCACTGCAAGGATGGGCCCCAAACTTCTCATGGAGATGTTTCTACCTTCTCCCCAGGCTCTCCAGGTCTCACTCAACTGTTGTTTAGGTCACTTTGAAGAATGACAGCTCAATTCAAAGAACCCCCTCCCATCACAGTCTGACTCAGGTCTGGGACCAGACTATACTAAGTTATTTAAGTTTCGAAAAGAAGTGAACCCATGAGCTCTCAGCCAGGATGGTCAGATTTCTGTTGATCAATTCATCCTATGATGAAAAACAGGACACACTCTAGGGATCAAAGTGACCTTCCTAAGAGCCAAAGGGGAGTGACTCCACCCTTCCCCTGGAGAATCTGGGGTGGGCATCCCTGGGCCGGTGGTTCTCTGACAGTTTCCTCATTGGCCGCATTCAAGGGCTGGCTAAGGAGCCTCTTCATTCCTTCTAACTGGGATGCTCATTCTTTGATGCTGGTCCAGATCTAAGGTGAGGACGATGTGGGTAGACCTGTGACAAGTTATCACACTGGGAAACTATGGCCTGTCAAGGGGCATGGGATCACAGGCAGGAGCTCCTTTGGCGGGAACTGGAGGGCACCCTAGGAAACAGCACCCACTTAGACGTCTTCCGTGGCTGAAATCCATCTCGGGAAGCGTTGTCACCCACCTACCTGTTGCTGTCGGCTGTTACTGCAAGGGGCCAATGTCATGGGGCAGCCCAGGGTGTGCTCTTCTGCCTGGCAGTCTGCACAGAAGCCAAGCCCAGTGTTGTGGAGCTGAAAGTGAACATCCACAAAGACGTGACTCTGACCACAAAGATGTGACTCTGACCACAAAGACCTGACTCTGACCTCCACAAAGACCTGACTCTGACCTCCACAAAGACCTGACTCTGACCTCCACAAAGACCTGACTCTGACCTCCACAAAGACCTGACTCTGACCTCCACAAAGACCTGACTCTGACCTCCACAAAGACCTGACTCTGACCTCCACAAAGACCTGACTCTGACCTCCACAAAGACCTGACTCTGACCTCCACAAAGACCTGACTCTGACCTCCACAAAGACCTGACTCTGAACTCCACAGTGAAGATGCCACGAAGCAGACTCTAACCCTCTGTCCTCTTTAGACCTCATCCCAATGTGTGTGGTTCAGTCACAGCGAGCTGGGTGACGCCCAAGCCACTCATCTTCTTAAGACACAAGCCTCCAGAAGGAGTCAAGCCACACTAGTTTGGGTGAATGGATCTCGCACGGGTTATAGGGTAACATGGTCGCTTTCCTCAGACTGGCAGGGAGGTGGGAGGGGGAGTCCAAAGGCCTCTGAAGGCCTCCTGAGCCTGCAACTGGTCGCCCAATGGAAGGGATGAATGTTCTTGTGTTAGCAAGCAGCCCCGTCTCTCCCTTCTTTCCCACCTCCACCGAGCCATGCCTTGCCTTTCCAGAGAACCTGGGTCTGTGCTCAAACGGATACAGCTCGGGGTAGACATTGGCCAGAAACCAGTGGAACGTCCGACAACCCAGCCTCCTCTGCAGCTCCAGGCGTTCCGCGCAGTCCGGTTTTGCAACCTGCAGTTGGAGGAGGACATGGGGAGTAAGGCCAGGAAAGCTTTTTTCCCTCTCCAAACCCACACAGTCGGGGAAGGACAGAGGTGTTACGTGAAGGGCAGAAGGATGGGGACAGGATTGCAAGCGTCTGGAAGGCTGGGGTGTTGACAGAGGGTTAGCGGGTACAGCGTCTGGAAGGCTGGGGTGTTGACAGAGGGTTAGAGGGTACAGCGTCTGGAAGGCTGGGGTGTTGACAGAGGGTTAGCGGGTACAGCGTCTGGAAGGCTGGGGTGTTGACAGAGGGTTAGCGGGTACAGCGTCTAGAAGGCTGGGGTGTTGAGAGAGGGTTAGAGGGTACAGCGTCTGGAAGCTGGGGTGTTGACAGAGGGTTAGCGGGTACAGCGTCTGGAAGGCTGGGGTGTTGACAGAGGGTTAGCGGGTACAGCGTCTGGAAGGCTGGGGTGTTGACAGAGGGTTAGCGGGTACAGCGTCTGGAAGGCTGGGGTGTTGACAGAGGGTTAGCGGGTACAGCGTCTGGAAGGCTGGGGTGTTGACAGAGGGTTAGCGGGTACAGCGTCTGGAAGGCTTGGGTGTTGAGAGAGGGTTAGAGGGTACAGCGTCTGGTAACTTCTCTAGACAGAAGCATGCGGCCAGGGAGATGGAAAGCAGTGTACCCTCACCTCCAAACCCTCAGCCTGCAAAGACCATGGTGCCTGTGCCTTAAAGTTTTTTCTCTGGAATTCAAAGAAATGATGGACTCTACCTGGGTTGTACCATGAACTGGCCGAGAGGTAGAAGAGACAAAGTCAGCTGGGAAATCGCTGGGGTGGGGCCGAGGAAGGACAAGGTGATTTTTCTTCTTCCCCGAGTCTTGGGTTTCCCCACTGAACCACATATTTAGGCTAAGCTGGCCCCTCCCTTTATGAACAACTGAAGGAGAATGGGCAGCAGTCCTCAACACTAGTTAATGTTTTAGGCTGAGTTGGTAAGATATGAAGAAACCCATGCAGAGGGTTAGTATAAATTTCCTGGGGGAGAGAGGCTCTAAGGAGGGGTTGGAATAACCAAATATGGAGATAGGGGGTGGGAAAGGGGGAAGGAGGGAATAGGAAAGGAAAAATAAAAAGAGGGGGTGACGTCCATGTCAGTGTTCTGCCTTGGTGGTCGCTGCTTTTTTGTAAGACACAGGGGGGCCAACCAGGCTGCAAATACTTCACATCCTGTATTGGGCTAACCTCATCCAACATGCTGTGTTCTGATGAGCCTGTTAGTGAAAGGGGACCGGGGAACATCAGAAGCATGGATATATTTCATTTTTATGGGTTCTTTATAAATGAAATCTGTGTTGATATTAAGCAAGTCTGCTCTGAAAGCCAATAGAAAATACTGAATTGACATCCTTTACATGACAGGGAGAAACAAACAGCCTAAAGAAAGCCCAGAGATGGAACGTCACAGTCTCTCTGCGGTGTCTATAGAACTCTGTGGGGGGCTTCCTACTGCCCAGCATCAACTGGGTAAAGTCTAAACCCTTCAGCTCAACCCTCAGAGGCTTCAGGATTTCCCCCAACCCCTCCTCTGGGGCCTGAGTCATCCTATGCAACCATGGCTGAAGCTCGGCCTTTCTGGGGACTACTTCCCGGATGTCTAGACTTAGGATATAGTGGAGTCCTGGTGAGAATTACCCTTTCATCTCCAATGCTGCTCTGCACACCCAGCCAGAAGCTACAGCAGTGGGGTCCCCCTTGTGTGCAAAGGAAACTGATGCTACTTTGGGGTGATGCTTGGAGTCACTCACGGCGACCCAGAGGGAACTCTGCTACCCTAGACCTTGGGATTGAATTGAAATTTTGTGTGTCCATCTCCCAGTAAAGAGACAAAGGGATTTACAATCACGGAGTTCTGATAATTGTCTGTTGGTCTGTCTTCTGTAGGTAGGGGGGGTTCTGGATAAAGAAGAACAAACTCTTGAGAGCTTCAGGAAAAGGGAGCACTGTGTGGCTGCCCCGTGTCTGACTTCCCTGCATGTAGTGGGCACGGGTGTGTCTCCCTGAGGACCCTGCCTTCATCTGAGCTCTCCAGCAGTGGTGACAGTTTCCTGACTAAGCTGCTCCTTTGGGACCCTACTTACAGTCTAGTGGGTGTAATGACAGCCCATGACTCACAGCAGACATCATGCGTGTGCCACACCACAGGAACTGACTAACCAATAGTGAACCGAGGGACAATTAATTACATGTTTAAAGTCTCAACTTTTCTGTGGCTTTATGGATTCCTTGAATTTACCTTTGATCTCACATCTGTTCTTCGTCTTGGATATTCCTCAACCCTCGAGCATCACAGAACAAAAGGGTCCCTCAGAGATGTGACTCATCCCTTATCCAGACTCACCCCGCTCTGGCCCTGTGGTGACAGGTTGCCTCCGGCTCACAGCACCCTCTATCAGTCTGGGAATTCCAGGCCAAGGTCAGCTGTGACACTCCGGGGAGGCGATGGGGCAGAGTATAGTCCCACCAGGTAGAAGGGTCGCTCTAGGGGCGAGCTCAGAGAAGCTCAAGCCAGAAACAAGGGAGAGGGTCCTTCCTGGCTGACCTCAAGCTGGTGATCTTATGCTGGCCCCCTCCCTACCTTGCTCAGGGCAAAGGCCTCTGGGTTGTGCCTGTAGAAGGTTTCTTTGAAGGACCCCAGCCAAGTCTCAGCAATGCGGACCTTGTTCCTCAAGATGACCTCAGGGTCAGTCCTGGAGTTGGCATCTTGGCTTTGGTAAATGTGCCCCACTCGAGAGCAGGGAAGGATTTCGACGGAGCCACCGCAAAGCCAGGCCTGTCACAGAAGAAGAAGGTGGATGGCTGTCCCTTCTACCTGACTGAGCACCAGGACGTCATAACCTGGATGGCCAGTTCAGATCCTCAGGGTGCAGTTCTTCGATCCCAGCGTGTGGTCGGCAGGGCCACAATGGGGGAGCGTAGAGGGCAGTTGTCCTAGGATGGAACTGACGGGTGACGGCTGACAGCAATGCACCTGAGCATGCCACCCGGAAACGTGCAGAGTCAGCACATAAAGCAACGCAGGATCAGCATCCCCTCCTACCACAGGATGCCTTCCCAGCATCCTCTGCAGAAAGTATGTCTGCAGCAGCTAGGGAATTTCTAAAAGCCAGTGATGGCTCCTGCTGCAAAGACACCAGAGACAAAAGCACACCTCCTGCCCTCTTCTTCACTCCTTCCAGAAGCTTCTCCCAGCTCCCACTGCTCATTGGACAAGAATCCATCATCATATACTTAGTGACAGAATTACCGTTGGTAGTCCTGGACAGGCTGTGGTTCAGGAACTAGAAACACACTAGGCAGGCTGGAGCGATGGGTCAGAGGTTAAGAGCACTGGCTGCTTTTCCAGAGGACCGGGTTTCAGTTCCCAGCACCCACATGACAGCTCACAACTGTCTGTCACTCAGTTCCAGGGGACTAATACCTTCACACCAATGCATATAAAATAAAGTTAAATAAATTATTAAAATATATAAAAATAAAAGAATTGAAAAAAAACACTAGACATGGGGTTCTCGAACCTCATGTCCCTAGATACCTCAGAGGATTCAAAGAGCTCTGCAGGCATTTTTCATGCTTTAGAGAAATAGCCAACTTGGACATTATGCAAAAATTCCAAGCCTGATGTAGCTCACACGCCTACATTAGATTAGTCTGCCCATGTTAGATGATGGGCGTCTTTTCTGGGTTGGGTCTGGAGCAATGGGTGTCACTAAAAGGCGAGTATAAGGCTAGAACCAGTGTGGGACAGAAAGTGCAGGCGGCAGCTGTCCACGCGGTTCCCAGCCAGCTACGCCCAGCAGGTCCTAAGTCAAGCGAGTACCCATTGTTTAGATGGACCGACTCAGTGCCAAGAGCGGTTTCACATTTGGCTGGTGGGTAAAAGATCCCCTAAATGCTAAGGGTACCAGGAACAGAGAATGTACCAGAAGCTCTGGGCTCTCTGCGCTGAGATGTGAATTACTGACAGCTCACCTTCTCCCGATGAGGACTCTCAAAGTCAAGTTCATAGAGGAAGCTGAGAGGAAAACCATGGAAGGTCACAAGAGGCATGACCTGGCAGGGGACATGCCTGGTTGCGTGACTTCACATAATTTGCCCACAAGTTTATTCCCAACACCTGCCTTTTCTAATCTCTGCCTTTGAGGGGACTGCATGCACGACTCCAGAGGTAACCAGCCATGTCCACTGTTGACATAGAACCTACCTTGAAGGACATCTCAAGATTTTCACTACCCTGCAGTGACATGAGGGGATCGTAAGCTCCAGTGTTCTGGAAGTAACGTCTGTCCACAGCCACCACTTCTCCAGGTACCACAGGGCTCCTGCATGGAGAAAACCGGATAAGAGACAGCAGCAACAGAAACAGGGCCTGTGGGCCTTCCCAGAGGCAGGTCCAGTGAACGAGACAGCCAGCTCTGGGCTCTGGTGAAGCTCAACATTTTGATCCACAAAACCGGGAGCGGAGCAAGAGTGCTGGAAATCCAAGGCGTTTATAAAGAGAGCTGGGGGCTGAAGAGATGGCTCAGTGGTTATGAGTGCCGGCTGCTCTTCCAGAGGCCCAAGTTTGGTCTAGCACCCAGGTCAAGCTGTTCACAACTGCCTGTGACTCCAGCTCCAGGAAACTGGACAACCCTCTTCCCGCCCCTATGGTACCTGCACACACAGCGTGGCGTCCCACAGACACGTAAACAACAGCATACTGAAGATTAAGGGAATTAGCCTTCCCTGGCCCTGATAGCTTGTCCCCAAGTCTTTCTAGGTATAGAAGGGACCAGTGGCTGCACTTGAGTCTGTCAGAGAGATGTCTGAGGAAGAGGAGACTTTAGTTAAAATAAGACACCCCAAGGAAGGCAGTTGCCAGGCCCAAACCAAAGGAACAGGCAGGCTGTCTTGCGGCTTGATTCTGAGACATCTCCCTGGTTCATGTTTTAAACACTCCATCGCTCCATACTATGGCGCTGTCTTGGACCCCTAGGATGTGGGGCCTTGTGGGGAGAGATAGAGAGGTGGGCCTCTGAAGGCTGGACCCACCCCTGGCTCTCTGGTCTAGCTTCCGGCCTGAGCCGTGTGGGCAGTCACCCACCACAGGCACCTGCAGGACCGACTGAGCAGCTCCTGCCATCCTGTCAGCCTCCCGCCATAGACTGAGACCTCTGGAACTGTGAACCCTTCCTGCCTCAATTGCTTCTGCCAGACGTTTCCTGAAAGGGAGGAGGAAGGTAACACACGCTCTTTCCCCTTCTCTTCCCCCTCCTCCTGTTTTCTTTTGTCATCTATCCCCCCCCCAACTTTAAGATGAATCTAACAGGAATTCTGGAAGTACATAGGTCCTCACAGTCACTGGGGGAAATGCATGGTTTATACTTGCAGAGAGTGAGACACTCTGAAGGAAACGGGATGGAAACTACATTCCTCAGAAGAGTGTTAAACAAACTAGGTTTGGTGGCTCATGCCTTTAATCCCAGCACTTGGGAAGCAGAGGCAGGAGGATCTCTGTGAGTTCAAGGCCAGCCTGGCCTATGTGGTGAGTTCCAGGACAGCCAGGGGTACATAGTGCAACGCCGTCTCAAACACAAAATCAGTTCACAGCGGAGGTTTGCAGGGATTGAAATAAAAAGTTGCATGCAGTGCCAGGCCCTGGACGTGTGCCGTACTAAGTATGAAGGGTGCAGTTCTGCGTTCACTATTCCTCCCTGAAACTCATAATGCTATTGCTTTCCTTTGTTGGTTGCCGCTTTGTCTTTGCTTTCTGAGACAAGGTCTCACTGTGCGGCACAGGCTGACCTCAGACCCGTGATCTCTCCTGGGATATCAGGTGGGCACCAGCTGCATCTGGCTCCTGGTGTGTTTTGAGTCAGAATCTGGGGTTTTGGAAAGGGACATGCATGACATCGCCTGTCAGCCTTGCTGGCCGCACTCTGTAGTGAGGTGCCATGGTAACGTCTTCAGTCATCGAGTGACCACTCTCAGAGCGGGCGTGGTCACCATGTCAGTTGAGGTCCACATCTGCATACATGGTTTCCAGAGGGCTTTGGATTTTGTGGTTACAGTTGTGGACTGCGGATGTGTACCAGCATCCGGCTTAGCATAGCAGGGACGTATGTGATTTTTAGGTGCTGGCTACCCTGGATTTCCACTGTCATGAAGTTGGAAATTAAATCTGTCTGTGTCCTGGGCACAATGGAGCAGAGACAGGCAGTCCTGTGAGCTTGGAGGACAGCTGCTTCACATGCTAAATTTGAAGTGGTTTGTTACCTGGCAGAGAATTTCTAAAACGAACAAAAGAGCAAAAAAAAAAAAACAAACAAACAAAAAAAAACAAAAACAAAAAAACTACTGAAATAAAATAATTGTTCAGAAACCAAGCACAGGAGTAGCAGCTTTCAAAGCTGGGTTTAAACTGAGAATTGTGGCGTCACAGTGTTCCGCCAGCTAATCCTTCCTTTTCTCTGAGCAGGGACCTGAGAACAAGGAATTTGCTGTGTTACTTGGGGTCATGGTCAGCTCAGCTTCTGCCGCCTTCTCACCCTGGGCATCCACAGAAGCTTCTGGAAGGGCTTCTCTGGACTCTATTGATATCACAAAGACAGCAGCATTGCAACTGGCTGAACGTTTTGTACGCATTGTCTGTTTGGCTTTCATACCTGTCCCATGTGCTAGGCACTGTCCTCAGGAAGCTGGGACTTGGGTGAAATGGCCTGCTGTCCAAGTGTGGAACTCACCTGATAGGGCTGATGGGGGATGGGAGGGCCTTCTGCTCCTGCTCCCCCAGGGGCTCCCATCGGAAATCCAGCTTCCAGTCCAGCACCCCTCGCTGCAACCCCTCGGATGCAGAGTACTGAAGTGTCTTCCAGTCAATCGCGTCTATGACTGGAGACACCACTCGGCTCCTGGAAAGAACGGAGAGTCTTGAAACGATGCAGACAACTTACCGGCGGGAGGACAGAAACAAGATCTATATGTGTGGTCCTGCAGCCACAGGCCAGTCACACCTGCTGGCCTTAAATCTGTGCTTTGTCCCAGGCAATAATCCCAGTTTAGAAGAATTACTACAAATAAAGATGTGAAAACTTCCAATAATCTTTATATTGATTACACACCGATATTTTGAATGTACTGGGTTTACATTACTAAAATTAGTTCCAGCTGTTTTTGCTTTATAACATGACTGCTTTAGTTGAACATGTGTTTCTTCTGTGTGGCACTGTGCTGTGTCTTCAGGTCTCTACGTGCCTCAGACAGGAACCAGGGCAGGCAGTCGTGGACAACAACCTGGGATGACACAGTCATTTAGCCCCGGAGAGCATCTCAAATACCATACGTATTATAAAATGAACTTTTACTTTTACAGTTTCCTTAGATAAAAGAAGACACTGGAACGTTTTATTCCAGGGCTGGAGAGATGGCTCGGTTAATAAAAGCAGTGGTGATTTTCAGAGGATCCGGGTTCAGTTCCCAACACCCACGTCAGGAGCTCACAGGGACCTTCATTTCAACTTCACACCACACTTGTGTTGCCCATGCATACACACACGCACACACGCACACACACACATGCACACACACGCACACATACACACACGTGCACACACACATACACACACATATACATACACACACGCACACACATGCACACACACGCACACACATATACATACACACACATACATATATACATACGCACAGACACAAAATAGCAATAAGAAAGAAAGCTGTCTATTACAACATAACCAGTGCGCTATGACAAGTGTTTGAGGAGCATGAAGGATGGTGAGCTCCCTGTCAGGATCAGGTGCCCAGGGCTGAAGGCGGACTCCGGCTCGTTGACCAGGGTGTGGATGAAGCTATGGCTCGGCAAAGCAGCTGCCTGGTGGCCACACTGTCCCCTCTGTACTCCCTCTGCACCCGTATAGTGAAAGTTCCTAGAGAGTTTTCCTCCTTTGGAGACACTGGGTCCTCATCTGATGACAGAATGTCTCCCGACACAGGCTCCAGAGGCAGCAGCCCACCCACCCCTTCTGTCTCACAGAGCATACAGCTCTGCCACTTAGGCCAGAGCATCTTAGCGCTCACTGAGGTGTGGTGTGGTGTGGACTGGTGTGGACTGGTGTGGACTGGTGTGGTGCGGTGTGAACTGGTGTGGTGTGAACTGGTGTGGTGTGAACTGGTGTGGACTGGTGTGGAGTGGTGTGGACTGGTGTGGTGCGGTGTGAACTGGTGTGGTGTGAACTGGTGTGGTGTGAACTGGTGTGGACTGGTGTGGACTGGTGTGGTGTGCTGTGCTGTGAGCAGGTGTGGAGCAGCTCAGGAGAGCTGGCGGCCGAGTCCCTGAGGAAGCTACACAGACTGGGGTACTAGGCTTGCCCATTGCTCAAAGTGCCCTGTGGAGAGTCCAGATAGGGTTACTCACATTGCAGACATAGGCTTCTTTCCAATTCTCAAGGAGCTGGGCAAGGTGGGCCAGAAGCCATGAAGAGGCCATGAGAGCATAAAACATGGTGGAATCCCAGAGAGCAGCAGGCATGGGAAGAGAAGGCCACATCACACTCAAAACCAGAAGTACTGGGGCAAGCATAAAACAGAGAGAGACAGAGAGAGACAGAGAGAGAGAGAGAGAGAGAGAGAGAGAGAGAGAGAGAGACAGAGAGAGACAGAGAGAGAGAGACAGAGAGAGACAGAGAGAGAGAGACAGAGACAGAGAGAGAGACAGAGAGAGAGACAGAGAGAGAGGGAGGGAGGGAGGGAGAGAGGGAGAGAGAGAGAGAGACAGAGAGAGAGGGAGGGAGGGAGGGAGGGAGAGAGAGAGACAGAGAGAAAGGGAGGGAGGGAGGGAGGGAGGGAGAGAGGGAGAGAGAGAGACAGACAGAGAGAGAGAGAGACAGAGAGAGAGATAGGGAGGGAGAGAGAGAGGGAGGGGGGGAGGGGTAGGTAGTAGGCTGGTTGGTTGGACGGGAGGCTCCTGGAACTCCTGAGGGTGTCTCATGTGTAACAGCAGAGGACTGCCAAGACTCTCCAGCACCCTCTGCCTCCTCCTACAGTGAGGACTCTGGCGCTCTGGGGTGGCGCTCGTGTGAGGAGCTGACATGAGGGATGACGTCACGTTCAGCACGTCCCAGCACTAGGGAAAGACGAGAGGGGCCGTTTCTCTGTGAAGGGCGTCAGTGGTTCTTAAGACGAGGTCGTACTGGGCACTGGGCAGCCCCAACGGACGCCCGAACTTCACGCTCTGCACGCGGCGTCAGTGCTCTGAGCCTCAGTTTCCTCCTCAAGAAACAGAAGCAGGAACACCTGCCTGAGCCACTCCAAGGGGCAGGGAGGGGGTCACGGAAACAGGGGACAATAACATTACTTAGTCCCCAAATGTCCACAAATGGGGTTTTCAGCGTGAAATCATGAGGCAGGGCGAGGCGCTCCCCAAGACGCCCCTGAGTCACCCATCTGTTACACCGGGGTGGACTTAACACCCAGGAAATGGTCCAGGAAACCTGTGACCCACAAAGGCTCCAGGATTTTGAGAGAGCTGGCCCACGAAACAGGATCAAAGAAGGCCTCCGTGCAGGCTCAGTGAACTTTTCTTGTCCTCGGCCTGGTGCTAAACACAGCGCACGATTCCTTTACTTACTGGGACACAGGCCAAAAGCAGGCAGAGGTGTCCATCGTGGAATTGGGCTAATGCGTCTGTCTTGATTCAGAATTTTTTTTCTTCTGTGCAATCACCCCCAACTTAATGATGCTGGCCACAGAGTGCAAGAATAGGAGCCACGAGGTCTGGTTCTGACAACCCCACCCGGGTGGGAGCCAGGAGGTCCTACTGTGCGTCAGGCCTGGTTGAGTGGCAGGGTGGTGAATGCCTGAGCCCCTCCCGACCCCTGGCTACCAGGGTTATGCTTTCCCAATAGGGTATTCACACAAGGGGCATGGCAGATAGGCCAGGCCTAGGAAGCAGGGGAGATGAGAACCAGCGGGTGGGAAAGACGAGAGACAGGGGTGAAAACAACGCTGACTCAGGGGGTGTGGAAAGGCCCTCTCCACTCCTCGCTTCCCAGACTCGGTGTCGTTGGGAGCACTATGCACACGCCTGGGCTTGGATGACCTGTGGTCTAGGCTACTTGAGAAACTTGTTCCCCCACTGTGTGTTAAAATCTCCATGGAAACGGCGTCAAAGTTAGAGGCAATGACAAGCGTGCTGGGTGCTGCTCTTCCTGTCAGCTTAGCGGGACTGGCTGTGTCCGGACGCTACAGAAGATGTTCTCTAGCCTCCCTTCCAGCAGGAACTCCCCACGCTTCTTACAAGGCCCAAGCATCCAGAAACCCCAAGGAGTCGGCAGCAGTCAGTGGAGACCACCGTGCTTCTCAAATGATGGGTGGAGGCTCTGTTCCCAGAGTCTGTGCCCGGGATGCCTCTCCCTGACCCGCTGTTTGTTTAGCAGATCCTGGGCGGAACGAGTTACCTGTCATCAGCTATTCTGCCGAGGAGGGGCTCCAGCCATCCAGGGTGGCATTCACAGTGGGCATCCATGAAGACCAACACGTCCCCCGTGGCCCTGGCGGCCCCCAGCATCCGGGCCCCGATGGTGCCAAGCCTCCTGTTGCTTCTGAGCAGTTTGACAGCCTGCAGCCGGGCCGCATAGTCACTGAGAGCGGACTTCAGTTGCTCTGGAATTGACAGGGTCCTGTCAACGGGGGTCACAGATGCCGCGTGGGACGGGGCTGTGATGAGCATTTCAGTGGTGACTCACTTAGAGACCCCAGTGGGCACCAGATTCTGGGCCTCCAATGCATCACTAAAGGGTGGTCATTTCTAAGGTTTGCGATGGCCCAGTCCTCTCTGTTAGCCACCAGGGGGGTGGTGGAGTAGAAAACCAGAAGAGGAGGGACCTCACGAATGATCTCCAAACGAGAGTACACCCCTCAAGAGAACCACCTGCTCGCACACCCCGGCTTCGGCTCTGGTCTAGACAATCCGACCAAAGGCAGTGGACAAGGGGGTTAGGAACAGGGAGTCATGGAACCCCAGCTGGTAGCCAACGGGTGTTGTCTCGGGTTTCATCCCAGTGTCAGGGTGAGTCCGAGAAGAGGGAGATGAGAAGCCAGGGGCACGTCTAGCTGTGGGATTTTGGAAGGATGCGAGGGCTGTGGTCAAGCTGCTGGCCAAGGATCAGATGCCCTCGGGTGGGAAGGGCTGCAGCTGAGGCCTTGGGAGGGTTTCTATTGTGATAAAACACAATGACCAATAGCAACTTGGGGAGAAAAAAAAGGTTTATTTCTTCTCACAACTCTTGAGTCACCCTACATCACCGAGGGAAGCCAGAGCTCACCAGCTGACAGAAAGGGACAACAGGCCTGTTCTCTGGAGGGCTCTGCCCCAGCTGGGACCCTAACAGGCTCTTTTACCAAGCAGCCCAGCCTGCTGCCTGCCCATCAACCTCGACAAATGCTGGCCAAATGTGCCTTGCTAATCCCACACGACCCCAGTGCCTCCAGCTGCTCTGACCCTCTGTGGAGGCCAGGCTGGCAAATTCAAGACAGGAGGATCCCAGAAAGCCCCGACAGAGGCTGCACACCTCCAGTCTGCCTTGGCTGGAGAAGGGCTGTGCAGACCTCCGCAGGGCTCAGCCTCTGCTTTCCCTTTAACTCAGAGGGGCTGCTAAATGTCAGTTGAGCAAGAGTGGAGGACTTTGACCCCCAAGAAAAGACCAGATCAGTAGTTACGCAAATGTGGGGCCCATCAGATGATGGCATCGCTTCACCTGGCCAGCTTCAGCTGGGTACAACCCAGATCTAGAGACTCTGGGGTGATCCAGTGACGGTACTGGGGGTGGAACCCAGGGCTTCCCACAGGACAGGCGAGCACTCTACTACGGGACTATGACACAACCCTTTGTTTGTTAGTTTTCTTTTCTACTTTTTGAGACTATAATTTAATTACAGCATTTCTCCCCCTAGAACCTTCCATATATCCCTTCCCGCCCTCCTCCAAGTTTAGGGCCCCTTTTCCCACTGATTGTTACTGCACACATAAATGTGCCATATATGTAAATACAGCCTGCTGAGTCTACACAATGTTATTCGTATGTATGTTACAGGGCTGGCTGTTTGGCATCGAATAAACAGTTGATGAACTCTTGCCTGCAGAGAAGCACCTCTCCTGCTCCCGGCCTTCCTGTTGCCTATAGTTCTTTGTGGAATACTGAGGCTTTGTGGACTTTTGCCCATCTGGTTTGGCATGTTCGTTTGAGACAGGGTCTCAACATGTAGCCCAGATGGTCCTTGAACTCACAGAGACCTGATTGCCTCTGCCTCCATGGAACTAGGATGAAAGGTAAGAGCTGGCTCATATTTCTAAAACGTTTTATACGTGTTCTTATTAAATTGCCCAAGCTGGCCCTGAACCCCATCTGTAGTATAAGCTGGCCTTGAACCCCATCTGTAGTATAAACTGACCTTGAACTCTATCTATATATAAGCTGGCCCTGAACCCCATCTGTAGTATAAGCTGACCTGGAACTCCATCTGTAGTATAAGCTGACCTGGAACTCCATCTGTAGTATAAACTGACCTGGAACCCCATCTGTATTATAAACTGGCTTTCTTGGACTTGGGAATCCCTGTCCAGGCTCCCTCCGCAGCCGGGATTACAAGCTCCCACTTGCACCGCAGACACACATTTTAACAAGCCTGTCTTTGGAGCTCGGGGAGCAGAAGCTGAGACCCGCTCACTTGGAGGTCAGGCGGGGCCTTCTTTCTTTATTTCTTGTCGTGAGTTCCTGCCAGTTGCAGCAGCCAAGTAAACCCTATGGTCAGGGCTCTGGGCTCACCTCTGCTCCTCTTAGCCTGTCCCGTCTGGACAGGATTTGCCCAGCACCCAGGAGACAGTGAGCACCCTTGTCAAGACCACCTTCTTTAGACAGCACATCTTGTGGAGAGGCTAATAGGGCGAGGTGGCGCCTGAGGAGGAGAACCCCAACAGAATCAGGCTGAAGCGACTCTCCCAGGGGCCTCTGGGTGTACCCTCTCCTGGGAGTTCCTGTCCCAGGACTCTTCTTGGTTGGAATATTCCTCTTTTGTCCACTGGTCTCCTCTGGGGCCCTTCAGTAGTAAATCACTCACCCTGGAGTAGATGTTCCCTCTTTGCCTGAAGCTCTGCAAGGGGGAACCTTGCCTGACACGGAACTGCAGCTCCCTCTGTCCCTCCCTCCCCATTCTGGCCCAAGGCCGGCGCTACCAGTGATCCAGGCGCCAACTTCAGTTACCTTGCTGGCTGAGGTCATCGACAAGGATGATCTCCTGCAGCAAGGCCCTGGGCGCTGTGTCCAGGATGCTGTGCACGGTTCTCACGAGCGTGGGCCAGGCCTCGTCATGGAAGCAGAGGATGACACTGGCGGTAGGCAGGCCACTTGCTGGGTACTGCTGCAGACACCTGTAGGAGAAGAGTGTTAGGGAGCCAGTCCCTCCCCCTTCCCCCCTCCCCCTTCCCCCCTCCTCAGCTCAGGCTGGGCCACTACAACCACAGCATCCCTCCAATCCAATGCTCTCCTGGGATTTCTTCAAGTAGCCACACAAGCATCCCATCACACACTACAGCACGACCTTCTGACTCTCTGCCTTCGGGTCACAAGAACTCTGCTCTGCTGAACCCAGCACCTTCTTTGTACCTGAGGGGAGCTGATCCCATTCACGGAGATGATGACCCCCCAACTACACAGTGGGAATGAATGATAATGCCATTGTCTCTGGGGAGGGACCTGAAACTCAGGAAGGGGGCCAGGCTCCACTAGGTCCTGTCAGTGATACAAGGAACCCAAGACACTCTCCCTTCAGAATTCCTAGGTGATTTCTGCTTCAGCCGTCCTTGCCTGGATACCCTGACCCCAGGGCCTATATGAGCCCCTCAGCCCTGTGGGGATGTAGCAGCTCAGCGTCTGCCTGACTCACTGTCGTGGAGTCCACTGTGGAGGAAACGGTGACGTTGAACTTCACAAAAGGACCCTCCTAGAATGCTAAAATGAGGCTTGTTTCTGGGTCTCTCTTCAGAAAGAAGTCAGAGTGACCAGTGTTGGCGCTTGCCCTGTCTGAGGGACACATTTTGATGATCCCCCATGGGAGGCCTCACTCTCTCTGAGGAGTGAATGGGGGAATGGAATGGGGAGATGGTGCAGGATGTGAGGATGGGAAGGAGAGGGAACTGGGATTGGTATGTAAAACCATGATTTTTTTAATTTAAATTAAAAATTAATAAAGGACAAAAAAGTGCTTAGCTCATAAGAACTCAGAAAATGCTCATTTCCCACAAGTCTCTCTGGATACTTCTCTGGGCTCAATTTCCTCTGCCCAGTGAGGATACTAGAACTACATTGTGAAGCTGTGTGAAGCTCATCTAAGCAAAGAGACCCACTCTGTGCTATGTCCACAGCTTTTGCTAATTAGCTAAGTATCACCTGAGTGTCACCCAGCTGATGGGGGAAGTCCTTCTGTGTATATGTTGTCTTATTGGCAGATAAACAAAGCACTGGTGGCCAATAGGAAAGCAAGATAGGTGGGACTAGGAGTTGAGGAGGATTCTGGGAAATGCAGTCTAGAGGAGAGGAGGGTCGCCATGTGTGCCCAGGAGGAGAGGATGCATCAGGATGGTGTCCTTGGAAAGATAAGTCCTTATAAAAATACATATTAGTAATTATGGGTTAATAATTAAGGCAGAGCTAGCCATTAAAGCAAACGGTCAACAGCTTCATAATTAATATAGCGTCCTGCGTGTTCATTTGGGACTGACGCGGCTCTGGGACCAGGCTGGCGGGAAGAACACACAGTAGGCCCAGCTAACCGTGTGAGTTCTGCTCCCTCTGAGTCCTGCAATGCAACCGGAGGACTGACACAGTGCTCCAGAAACAACAACAGGCTTTTCCCTGCGTGCCATCCGTTCCGTCCTCCTGGGCACCACGGGGCTGCTGCTCTGTCCAACATGGCCTTAAGTCCCACCCAAGTTGTTTAAAAAAACAGCAGTCTTTAAAAAGGTCCTAGAGCTTATTTGGGACAACTTCCTCTAGGTGCTCCGACCCCTCTGTTTGTGGGTAGAGAGAGCACTATTTATTGTCTGTGGGCTGACAGGCACCCAGAGGGGCAGGGACCCGGATCCTATTTCCCTACCTCCAAAGCCTCGGCCGATGCCAGCCAGCAGAAATCCATGCCCCTCTTCCCAGACCTCTCTGATTTTCAGAAAAACGTCAGATGCACAGACTGTGTCTGTGTCTCTCCTGATCCTTAAAGACTGAGTGACCAGGCGGTCAGGTGTGGCCCTGCACATGTAACCTTCCCTCCTGGGAGGCTGAGTCAGGAGGATCATGGGTTAATTGCCAGTGTGTCACACACACACACACACACACAGGCATACACACACACACACATCAGTCTGTGTTGGGATGTGACCCCCCCATTCTGTGACATCGGCGTTAACCAGTTGTTCTAACCATCCTGGCACTGGAGGTAAATTTTTTCCTATGTGAGCCGTGTTCTGCCCTTGACATTTCTTTCACCTCTGAGAGTTGGGGTGTTTGTCCCAGCAGGATGGAGCAGAGCAGGTCTTTCCCGGGACCAGGAAAGGGAAGGGACCAAGCATGGACCTGGGGCTGGGGAAACATATCCCAAAATACAAGATTTATATTTAACTTTTATTACCACACATGTACAATAACAACAATTTTCTATTTTGAGATGTATCTTTTCTAAGTCATTTTCAAATCAATTGAACTAATAAGGTCAATGAAAAACAGATTGATCCTGGCAATAGGCCCCAGGTCAGTAGGTCACTTTGCCCCTTGAAATATGTGTGTTGAATGTGACACGAGTCATTGTCGCCGTGTCTGTGGTGCAGCCTTCTTCAGCTTGTGAGTGAGGGAGTGAAGTTACAAGGGCCTTGGGACTTTGAAGGTGACTAGTCCCTTATGCCGAGACCTTGAAAGTCGTGTGTGTTGTTGTTATTAAATGGTGGGAGTGCTTCGAATTTCCTTCCACTCTCTGGCAAATACCTTACCAACTCAATTTTTTGGTTCCCACCCCCCAGCCCACACTGACTCATCCTCTGAGTGGAGCATTGGGAGAGCCTAAACAGAGGACTTTAGACCCATGCTGGCTCAGGTTTGGAGCCTGCCCTTTCCACTGACATCACCAATTAGCCGGCACAGGGACACCACCTTTCTCCAGGTAAGGAGTGTGGCCTGAATGCAAAGGGACAGTCCCCATGACAAGGAGGATTTCAACGCATGCTCCCTGTCTGTGTCACACTCCAGGATCTCAGGACCAGGCTCCCATGCATTCCTCCTCTCCCTGCCTCTCGATGTGCCCTGTAAACTTGGCAAACACATTCGGATGGTGACTCTGAAGAGGCTGAGTCACCGCATTATACCAGATGGCCGGGCTGTGGTGCTCGGCCAAGGTAGAAAGCTCTCTGTCAGTCTCCTGGAGCCAGGTTGGCATTACTGATTGATTCTCTGCTCCCACTGCGGAAGCACACATTTGTTGGCCTTCCGTAACCCAGCTCTCGCCACCGCCCCTCGGATGCTGGTCTGCAGTTAAGAGCGCTGGTTGCTGTTGCAGAAGACCCAGGTTTGGTTCCCAGCATCCACATATGGCTCTCAACAATCCTTAACTCTAGCTCCAGGGTATCTGATACCTGCTTCTGGCCTCCTCGGACATGCACCAGGCACATATATGATGCACATACATACGGCATAGGCAAACACTCACAGACATAAAATAAATAAATCTGAAATTTTAAAAAAATGTTTTGTTCGAAGAGTGAAGGAAGGCTCTGATCTTGTTCTCAAGGATGAGTTAATAATGTCATAAAGCCAACTTCCAGCATCATGAAAAAGTCCTAACATCGTTACTTGCCTGTGGATAATTGCTATGAATAGCAACTTCCTGGTAAGGCGTGGGGATGCTGGGGTCAGGACATGGATGGAGAGAAACACTTAGGAGAGTGGCCCAGATGCTCAGAGATGGCACAGGTGCCTGAAAAGGGCAGAGTCTATGAGGAAGCTGCCCCTGCCGCCTGCCATTTTTCACCGTAGGACACGTCCTCTGAGGGCAGTAGCACCCTTAGGAGGGACTCCATGGCGTCCCTAGTTACCTCTGAGCCTAGCTCCTTGCTCTAGATCACAGATGGGCAACAAATGGGAGTCACGGGTCTGAACCCTGATCAGAGACCCAAGAAGTATCCTAAAGAAACAGCTCTACCTGCCAGGGCCAGCCTTCCTTGGGCAGCATCCAGACAAACCTTCCAGAATGTTTATCCAGAGACTTTGCTCTTTAGAAGTTCAGAGAGGACCAGCCACTGAGATAGGACTCTGACGAGGAGGACACCCCTGGAGGGCCGTCTCAGAGCGCTCTGATGCGTGGGGGCACCGCTATCAAAGGGATCTTGTTAAATGCACAGTCACACTGAGCGTGTCTGCATTGTCCAGCCCCCAAAGCCTTGCGTTTCAGTCTGTGGAAGCCCTGGGCCACAGCTGTAATTGTCATTAGCAGGATAGTAGCAGGCAAAGAGACAGGGCAGAGCCCTTGGACAGGAGCCAGCATGCCTGTGTCTGGGGGTGTCAGGAAAGCCAGAGCCTTGGCAATAAATAGGTTGGGAGTCTCCCACATGTCCCTGCTCTCCAGTCTGTCCATCCCGAGAGTCCTCATTGCAGACCCGTCTAAGGCCAGTCCCTCAGGTAAGGCAAACATCTGTCTTTACACCCAATGGCCTTGCGAATGCTCTTGGCTGCTCACACAGAGGGCGTCACTCAGAGGGTGAGTTCCAGCCAGTCCTGTTGGAGACTCATCAGGGTTTCACACATTAAAAAAAAAAAAGAAAAGGAAAATTGTATGTCCCACTGGGTGTCAGGGTCTGCACTGAAAGATGGCAGAAGTTGGTCCAAGTCAGAGCTTCGGTGACATTTGGTGGTTGCCCATTGCAGAGATGGTTTTCAGAAAACTAGTAACTGATGAAAATGCTTCAGATAATCAGAGGATAGCAATGCAGCTACATCTACCTATGGAGCGGGAACCCTCTGTTGAGCGAGGGCAGAGCTGTGTGAGAAAACACAGCCCCAGTGAACCACATGGCATGGCAGATGGTGAGATCAACTTTGCCACATTGGATTATATACTGCGTGTGGATGAAAACAATTGGAGAGATCTGAATAGGAAGAGGAATCGAGTCAAATACTGAGCTACTTGGGAACTCTGAGCCACAGAAAGAACTCACTAGGGCAGTGTCTCTGACCTCTGAGCAGTGTACCAACAGTGCCACAGGCCCTGAAAGACCTTCCTGGGGAGGACTCCCTAGGTGGTCCTGCCCACCACCATTTGCAAACTCGCTCACGGTGCCCAAGGGTGGTGGCAGTCCTTCCCCATGTTCCAGCTGTCTTTTCAACTGTGTGT